GACGGGAAGAATTCCCTTCCCCAAGGACATACAGGGCTCAAATTTAGCATAAAAACGGGCGGCAGGATGGAAGCTGGTTGTGGGCGAGAGGACTGAGTGCAGAGGAATGAGGGAATCTGATGATAAGCAAAACTACTCTATTAATTTGGAGTAAGTGGGTAAGAAACCAAGTAGCCTAAGCACACGACTTCAACGGCCCTCCACTCATGCCGGGTGGGGTGAGGTGTGTCGCGGTGTGCACATGCGTTTAGTCGGAAATTGGTGACTCATGTTCTCCCCTAGATTCTGAATAGGGAAGAAGTGGTGCGGCAGGTCAAATTAAAATTTCACAGGAAAAAGAAGAGAGCCAGACGTGAGCTAGGCGATCCGACTGAGTTTTTTTGTATTTATCTTGCGAATTCTGTAGGTAGCACTGAGTAGGGGCACGAGTCTGCAGGCTACAAGCGATTAATTGTAGATAACACCTGGTATTCATTACCATCCGATAGCTCTTTTATAAACTTACTTTCTTCATGGGGCCCACCATCGGTATGACGTAAAGGCGAGAGATGCCGTTTGTAACCAGATAATCTGATATCAGGGCTAGAAGGCATGAACTAGTAATTTCTATCGCGCCCTTCCCCCAGTCGGTGCTACTACGTTACCCTGGACAGGTAGTATCTCTAATTTAGTCATGATTGAGCCGGCGCAAGACGCTAGGATGGCTAAGGGACGGCATGGAGCCCTAGACGGTACTAAATTGTTCTAAAGCTATGTGGTAAGTGAAGTTCGATATAGAAGCGATTTTAGAAAATCGAAAATATGTAAATGCCTGGTGCCACCATATCTGGAGGCTAGTTTTTGAATTTCAGTCAAGACTGTTCGTTTATTCTTCCAGGTAGTTTCAATTTGCGATCCTTTTCCTCTGGCGTTCAATTTCTGACGTCATTTCGGACTTTCATAGTTTCCCCAGAGCCCATACTCCTTTACACATCTTCGACTTTCTAGGCTCTCACAGTCTTACTTACTGATTTCCTTTCTGGTGTAAGTATTGGTATGGCATCCTTCAGAGGCATTCGTTCTTCTGATCGTAATCTACGTGGCAAGAAGGTTGAACTGAAATTATGGATGTTGATTAGATGTCTTCCTGATATTTCCCACTTGTCACCTTCACCTACCTACCACTTCGACGAACTTCTGGGCCAGGTTTTCTAACATTCCTGAAATTGATTGAGTAAAAAAGACTATGTAGGAAAAAGCCATGAATTTGACTAAATTCAGCACGCAGTGGTTGCTTCGTGATGTGAGGGAGAAATCAAGTATGGGAACAAACTAGGAAAAGTGTTGACTGGAGGCGCTTGGATGCTGTATTCATACCCAGTATATTTACAGCGAGCAAATAGCTAGTTGTTTCATTGGGTGGCATACCATGCCGTTTATATCCCAATCAGTGCTATTTTTTATTCATTGAGTCCCATGGTCGTTACTAACTTCTCCCCCACTTAAAAAACACCCAGAAACAGAAATGTGTTCGGCTATTGAAGATACATATAGGAATATATCTGAGAATCCCTTAATTCTCTGGAGTTTCTGGGAGAGACTTTTCAATTAAAAGCTCGAAGCTTCCCTGAAATTGATCAATCCCGTTTGGGATCGCCCAAGCCATCGTTTTCTTTCCAAAAATAAGGCGGCATTTGAGCGCATGTGTGATCTATACAATGACTTATGGAGGCTAGTCGATGTACGAACGAGGGATTTATAGGGCAAGCCTGGTACCGATAGACCGATCTCGGAGGAATGTAAGGTATCGTCTCGTTTAGGCAGGTATCGTCATCTGAAGCGTATACGAGATTCGATCTCAATGTGGTAATAGTGAGCCACTTGAAACTTTGTCTCTCGCGCTGGCTGGGGCAGAAGTCTAATCTAAAGTTGTGACTTCGATCCCTTCACTTTGCGTGTGTTGGGATTGGCATATTCCTGTAAGTCGCAACCCAAGCAGGATCACTTTCACTGGTCTAAGGATCAAGATGATTACGTTGTGCGTTATGAAATGTTTGTTGTCATCTGGGTGACTTATCTTTTTTGAATGTTTCCGTCATGAAGGCCATCAGACGAAGTAGGATTTTGAAAAGCAGGAGTGATGGTCAGGGTTACTCACTCTGTAGCTGCTGTACTTATTTTTACTGTCGAAGGCCGTGGTACTTGACTGCTGTCTTTAGGTAAATTATCTGAAAGATGTTTGTTAATAATCCATTTTAGCGATTAGATGGTACGATTTTTCAGAGAAATTAGTTCCATTTAGTACAGGAAGGTTCCCCCATTATTCTGGTAATTTTTTGAGTTGGCGCTGCATACCAACCATTCCTGCATACGTTTTCTCTATTCAGTAAAGCTTAGCGTTCGTGATCATAGGTATCGGGTGTTTCATACCTTTTTTGCTTTTACACTCTTCACCTTCGTTGCTTTACTATTCGGAATTAAAAAAAAATTGGGCTTGACTCAGCATTGGACGCTCATTTACCGTTTCATTTAGAAATGTAGGCCCGCTGCTACACTGGCTGAGCAAGCGGCTGAAGTAGACAATTCTAGCTATAATCGTTAGTTTTTACTTCTGCCTCGAGGTTTGTAGGTGGAAATATTTATTACGGCCGACGGTTCGACGGACTCGTCGTTTTCAAAGGCCTGAAAGTGGTTCAAAGCGTGTTGATTGTACACTACCCCACCAAGCGCCTCTTCCGCTCTAGCGTTTCTGACGTACCATCAGGAATGCACGAAAAATGCTCATAATCCGAAAGGTAAGCTCACCTCACTTCCACCGCAAAGTGTAGCCACGCTACACGGTTAGTACATTAGTAGCGAATGATCTTAGTCCGCTGTCCTTATGCAATATTATTGCGGATCAGCACGGTTCGCTGATTATGGAACTAACTCGCAGTGTGGCATGAATGGCAAGAGATCATTTGTGATAGTCACACACTCCTTTCGGCTGTTCATATCTGGATTTCTAGCTAAAATCGAGAACGCTTTTAACGCTTTCCTCGACGATGTTTCCGTCTCGTGAGCCAATATCGTACATTTGATGTTAAA